TCTTGGTAACTACCCTTCCACAAACGATATCTTGCAAGGGAATGGGAATTCAAAAGTTAAAGATTCACTTCTATTCTCCTTACATAAGAATTTATTCTAAAAGTACAGAAATGTTTTTTGGGTTTTTTTGAGACAGAGTCTCACCTTTGTGCCCAGGCTAGAGTGGCAGTGCCGGGCGTCGCCTGGCTCACAGCAACCTCAAATCTCCTGGGCTCAGCGAATCCTCCTGCCTCAGTGCCTCCAGAGTAGCTGGGACTATAGCATCGTGCCACCAGTGCCCAGCTAATTGTTTCCCGTATATAATTAGTGTAGGCCAATTAATTTCTTACTTTTATAGTAGAGACGGGGTCGTTGCTCTTGTTCAGGCTGCTTCCAACTCCTGAGCTCAAATGATCCACCGCCTTGGCCTCCCAGAGAACTAGGGATACAGGCGTGAGCCACCACGCCCGGCCCAGAAAGATGTTTTTAGATAATAAAAATGATGTAAAGAGATAATACTGTGTCTTCTCGTGGCCGTATAAATTCACTTAAATTGCCAATTTCAAGTTTCTGCGGAATCTATGTGTGAGAGGACTGCTTCATTGCTAAAGAAGTTGTCTTCAAAGACATCCCGCAGTTAAAGGAATGATTAGAGGTTGTTCAACAGCAAGTTAAAAAACTTAAAAAAAACAAAAGTGCAGTTCATGAGGAAAACACACCTCAGTGGGCCTGCAAAGGGCTCTCAGTCTCAAAGAAAGTAGATACGTTCAGGATTTAGGGCTTACACATCTAAGAAAATAAGGACATGTGACTGTTAAACAGGAAAAAATAGTAGGGAACACATGGACAGATGCTTTAAAAAACCAGGCTACTTCAAAAAATAGAATTTGAGTTCCCAGCTGGGATGGTGCTCACACCGATTAGCACTCTGGAGCCGACGATGGGCGATGCCGAGTAGATTTCAAAACCAGCCTTGAGCGAGACCTCGTCTCTACTATAAAACTAAGAAATTATTGACCAAATAAAAATAGTATATAGAAAATTAGCTGCGCGTGGGTGGCGCATATGCCTGTATTCCAGGCTCACGCCGGAGGCTAAGGCAGCAGGATTGCCTGAGCCAGGAGTGAGGTTGCTGTGAGCTAGGCTGACACCGAGGCACTCACTCTAGCTGTTGAGCTAGGCTGACACCGCGGCACTCACTCTAGCCTAGGGCAACAAAGTGAGACTCTGTCTCAAAAAAAAAAAAAAAACCCACAAAGAATGTTGGAGTCCCTCTGATACTGACATGCTTTGCGGGGGGGGGGAGCGAGAACAAAGATTATTCTTGGGGGGGGCACATAATCTCTCTACTTAAACTCAAAGAATCAACGTTAGGAAAAAGTGCCAATATCTACTTCCTGCAGTTACTTAAAAAAAAGATGGAGAGGGACAATTTATCAATGCAGGAACATAGGGTCTTTGAAGTTTTTGTTTGTTTGTTTTAAGGAGGACAATCCCTAAAAATATTAACCCTCAGAGACTAGGATTCTGGATATCTGTATGAACCAACACCTCTTCTTCCAAATCCAACTGAAACAGATACAAAGAGCAAAGCAATATAATAAAAAACAGACAGTGACAATTGCAATACATCTAAATTTAGGCCTCTGGGTCATAAATAATTTGTATCAGTGATAAGCAAGTCTAATCATTTCAAACTGTTACTCGTCTGGTGCTACAGACATATTTTCACAGAACAAGAAACCGTTATGTTTATTTACAAGGAAAACTGACAGAAAATTACACAGCAAATAGAGCCACAGACTAACCAAAGACCCACTCACATAGTAAAAATACTTTTGCTGCTCAACTGCTGAGTTTTCTACTTTGAAATGTCCTGCCAGAGGATACTCACAATGATTTTATCATCACAGGATTCTCTTTCAGCAAAATATAGAGGGCCTGCCTCAATGTCTTTACTTTTTATCTACAGAAGTTGCAGAAAAGTCAACACAAAACTAGCAATATGAGACAACTGGTACCTCATGGTGTCTGTAGAATCGGGGCAGGCTTCAGCTCATATCCTGCCAGAAGGTGGCAAACATTTTGAACAACCTGGTTATGAAGTCATGCTGATGACCTCACAAACGGGAATTCTGACGTTGGTCTACCTCCAGGTTGCATCCTCACCACTTTAAAGATAAACCAGAAGGTTCTGCAACCCTGAACCTGGAGCTAGTGACTGAAGAAAAGTACTTCCTCCCATCTGAGATCAGCAGCATCTTTCTCCACTGCTGACCAGCGTAAGCAACACAGGTAACAGAGGAAAGCACAGCCATCTAAACAACTTAACACCAGTAGTGTGTGCGTGTTTGCGAATTTTTATTTTAGTTCAGTTCTAAACACTTTTTCTTAGTATTCTCTTCTGGAAAATTAGGCTATATTTAGGAATTCTGAAAATTGAATAGAAAGCAAATCATAAACTTAAAATGTTACCCTTGCCACTCTAATATATTGCTAACTTCACCAGCCCCAATATTTACTCTATTTATTTACTAAGCAAGAAGTTCATTTCGAAAATGCCCAAAGCGTAAAGCCTCTCTCATGACAGCTCTGGAGTAGTACTGTGTGTCTTCGCTAGGAAAAGGCAAAATGGCCAGGTTGTTGTTTTCTCCCTCTTATCAGTGAAATTTTATTGTTACTTCCAAGTGCTTATAAATTCTTAAATTAGAAGGAACTATAACAAAGGACTAATAATAATTTCCAGGTGATGAGATTATTGGTAGTTTTTATATCTTCTATGTGTTTTCTGGGGTCTCTCAAATTTTATTTAACAGGTATAATTAATTTCATAAACAGGAAAAACAATTTAATGACTTGTGAGCCACAGTAAAATGCCTTCAACAAAGAGCAAGGAAACAGACTCTACTGTGCTGCTTTCTGCCTTGGCACATGCAGCACAACAAAGCAAGGTGACAGTGGACACATATGGAGAGGGTGATGGGCTGTTCACCAAGTCTATTTCTTCTTCTTCCTGGATTCGCAGGGTATTTCCCAGCTCCCTTTGTGGTTCAGTATGGCCACATGACTGAGTTCCAAGCCCACGGAATGAGTGGTGGGTGAGACTGTGCCACTTCTAGGCCTCGTCCATAGGGCCTCCCACGTGCACTTCCCCAGCTCTGCCCCTCATGGCTTGATGGAGACGAGCCCAGCAACCCCAAAAGCATGTACTGAAGACTGGGGAATCACAGGATGGAAGAAGCCCGGATCCCTGAATCAGGGATCTGATTCTCTACACTTCCCCATCAGAAAATACCATCCTGAACTTTTCCAGAACTGAAAATAAACTTTTATCAGTTTAAGCCACTAAAATTAGTGGGTTTATTTACTACAGCAGCTAGCTTTTCTTACCTAATACACTGTCAAAGAGATTAAAAACTATCCTTAGAGCTTTGGAATCATCTCAGCTAAGTAAACTGCTCAAAGAATTTAACTTTTAGGATAAGCATCTGAGATGAAAATGCTCCATATCACAAAAAGTACAATAATATGAATAATAAAGGTACTCTATTTCCTTAAGAGCAAAAAGATACTTTACTGGCAAGAGCAAAATATCACATAGGTTTGACAACAGCATACTAACTTATTAAGACAAGACAGATGAGGAATTGATAACTGTCCAAGTTGGGTGATGGTACTATTCGCTCTGCTTTTGTGCATGTTTGAAATTTTCCATTATTACAAGTTTTTTATTATAGAAGATATATACTTTAATAAAATCCGACCCACCTTCTCCCTGACCCAATACCCTAAAAAAAGCTTAAGCAATTTACAGAAACAAGTTCCTCAAAAAAGCAGTTCCCCAAAACAATCACACAGTGTAAATTATGTTCAAATGAAAAGGAATAATATTCTTCATAATTCTTATCTGATTTCTTAAAAGTTTTTTTTTTTTTTTACTTTTTTTGAGACAGGGTCTCCCTCTGTTGCCGGCTACAGGGCAGTGGCATCATTGTAGCTGACTGCAACCTCACATTCCTGGGCTCAATAAAGAAGAAAGAGCTGGCCTGGGAAGTGAAACACCTGGATCCCATTCCAGCTGGATGACCTTGAACAACGGATTCAACCCCTCCCCAGACCTCAGTACTCTCATTTACAACCTGAGGATACTAATTAAATCAGATCTGTTTCCAACTCCATCGTTTTGTAGTTCTACCGACCGTTATGGATTTCAAATCTAACTCCTACAAGTGAAAGGTCAAGGATTCAAAAGTGAAAAGACAGACTGTGGCTCTAACCTTGCCAAAGTAAAAGTGCAGGACTCTGCCAACAGTGAAGAACGAACCCAAATCTGATAAGATCAGCCCCGACCAACACAGCATCTGCAGGCGCTCGCCAGCGCGGTATCGTGTTGCCCAGGCAAATCGCAGCGCTCCACTTCGTCCACCACCCACTCCACCATTCACACCCCATCAGCAACATGAAAATACCCCTACATTTACTCAGTCAGGAAATTCTGTTGAGAGGCAAAGGAGAGTTGAAGATTTGCAATGAATTTAACCTGCCAGGAGAGGGAGTTTAACACCGAGCTAACAGGAACGGGCTGCAAACTAACCACAGCGTCTAGAAACCCAGATTTCAACTCGGCCCTGCAGTGAGAAAATTCAGCACCAGACAGGTTGGTTAAGTGACTTACCTGGAGACAGCTACACTCTGAGACTTCTGGCCTTCCTTCTAAGGTGTTATATGTTCATGGACTTTGTACCAGAAGGAAAGCGGAAAGATGTTCTGAGAGCAACGGAAAGTCTAGTTTGGGAGATGTTTCTGAAGCTGATGTGCAAGTCAAGCTTGAGAGAAAAACTCAAAGGCTGTGTTCTAATATCATATTCCTGGGTCTGGGAGGTTCATTCACAGCTTAATCCTGTCCCATGAAGTCATGGTTATGTAAGTGTCTGTTGTATGCTGTGTCACTTGCTGTCCCCCACCCCCAACACAGGACAGTGTAACCTGAGCTCACGCTTCGGGCTGCTGAAAACACTTACACAACACTGGTAGATTTCCAAATTGCTTTGTATTTCCACTAAAGAAAGGCAAGTTATGCGATTATTTTTCTTCTTTCAGTTTCATTCACATTGCTGAAAAGACTGGAAAAGGACAAATAAAACTGAAGGGTATCTGCGTATTTTCTTCAATTCCTAAGTAAAACAAGGAAGGTCAAATATTTCAACTTCACAGAAGACTATCAAGGCCTGCTTGGGGCCAATTAAAAAACATCTCATTTCCTAGAAGAACTGGGCTGAGGGCCTTGGCTGGGAAATGCAGAGTGAGACCTGGTTTCCCATGTGCGGCTGTTTACGTACCCACACCCTTACTCCACTGCTACACGCAGCACGTGCCCACACTTAAGGGCTTCAGGGGACACTGGAAAGGACTCTCAAATAATACAAAGCACACACATCAGCAGTCTCTTCTGACTACTCTTCTGACCCTATTTCTTCTTCTCTGGACTACTCCAGCTACTGGGCTATCTTCTATCACTGAATGATGAACCACATGCACTCCTGTCTTATTTGCATAGCATGCTATGACTAAGATCCTCATGGTTAGAGATGAGAGTTGATTTGTCTTTGCATCTGAAGACCTAAATAAGTATTCTTGATACACAAGGATTCAAAAAAAGTTCTGAACTGACTCAACATCAAAACAAGAACCCATAAAATGATGCGAAATGAAGCATTTTCAAACAAAAGCATTAAATAACTGTATCTGACCCTCTAAACACTTGATGAAGATGGTGGTGGCATTAGAAGGTTTCCCAACCTTGTGGCCTCTTTTAAAAAGTAGGCCAATGAGGCTGTGGGCCAGCTGTTCAATTACTATCGCCAATGAGTGGTATTTAAGGGCTGGTTCAAATTAGATAATTTATTTGTTGACACTATTATACTTTCTAGTACAGCAATGTCCAATACAAACATAATGTGGGACAAATGTATAATTTTGAATTTTCTAGTATCAATGTTTAAAAAATTAAAAAGAGGCTGGGCACGGTGGCTCACACCTGTAATCCTAGCACTCCAGGAGTCTGAGGCAGGAGGATCGCTCAAGGTCAAGACCTTGTCTCTACTAAAAATAGAAAGAAATTAATTGGCCAACTAAAAATATATAGAAAAAATTAGCCGGGCATGGTGGTGCATGCCTGTAGTCCCAGCTACTTGGGAGGCTGAGGCAGGAGGATCACTTGAGCCCAGGAGTTTGAGGTTGCTGTGAGCTAGGCTGATGCCACAGCACTCTAGCCAGGGCAACAGAATGAAACTCTATCTCAAAAAAAAAATTAAAATTAAAAAAAAAGTTAAAAATCAAAAAGAAACAGATGAAATTAATTTAATATAATTTAGCCCAATCTATCTAAAATATTTCAAAATTATTAATATTTTACATTCTTTTTTTCATACTAGATCTTTGAAATCCATTGTGTATTTTATACTTATAGCACATCTCAATTTGGACTCACCATATTTCAAATGCTCGACACACTCCTGTGGCTCATGGCTACTACACTGAACGGCATAGGCCTAGAATATACATTTAAGGCAGAATATGAGTAACTCTCCTCTTGGCATCAATAACAAATCTACCAAGCAGATACCCTAAATGCCCTGAGTATGCAACATGATCTTTGGTACTCCTTACAACACATATGTAAAGAAAAAGGCAGAGAAATGTAAAACTCTTAAATATAAAGCTGTGAATAATTGTCCTTAGGATAGAAAAGGAAAAAATAGCACTTACAGTAAGAAGAACTTTAAAATATCTATTTGACAGGTGATATATAATGTATAAAGCAGCCCAGCTGGTAGCACAAGGCACTGCCCAGTAGGACTAACAGCTCAGCGCTAAGAGTTTGAAAATACCCACACAAAATTCAAAGCAAAATACTGTACAGAGATTGAGTTCCAGATGAAAAATGTAATAAGTGTGTCTGTCTCAAGACACAAGAAAGGAACCTGAGAGTCAGTGGCCGGCAGAATTAAAGCCAACATAGCAGGAGGCAGCATTTCAAATACAAAGAGGGGAATGAGAGCATTATTGTACTGAAGCCACGTCATGCTTAGCTTTTTCTGTCTTTCCAATTGCAGGAAACCAATGCAGACTCAAGGCATGCTTGGAAAAGGTAAGTTTGGGGACTCGAGGGGAAAACTATAGGAGAAAATGAGAGTTTAAGAATGTGACTGCAATGTCAGTAACTTATTTCTTACTAATCTGACATTTTCCCCCTAAACTCTAGTAAACTACCTTTGACTCAGAAATAATCTAGTAGTTATAATTTAAAATACAGGACCCAGGAAGAAAAGGTAAAACTGTGTCATTGGGCCAAATTCTAACATCTGGGAAATTTGTTAGCCTTCTGAATAAAGATACAGAATACCTCTTGTGCACATTTACCCAGAGTAGTCGAGTGACATGATAATACCGTGTGACTGATCAGAATGCCTGCCCTAACAACAAACAGTCCTGTGACTCAGACAGTAAAACCACCAGGACAGAGAGAGCAGTGTCCACTCTGAGATAGAGTATCTGGTAAGAGCATGAGCAGTCAGTTGATAAGAAGTGATGATGACAGTGACAGAAAGCCACCAAAGAGCATCATTTGCTCTAGACTCCCAGAAGCTTGCCCCCTGAACACAGGCAAAACGTGTGTGATGTCACCAAACACGATGACATTTAGGGCACGGGCCATGGAAGACCCACTGCTTCAAAGCAATGCAACAAGTGAGATAAACTAGGGAGAAGATAAAGCAGGGTCCTGGAGCCATGTGGTTTCAGCTGCAACTAAGAGGCTGCCTTAAAGGATGACAGAATAAAAATGTAAACATATGGGTAACTCTACTGTGGCTGGTGCCTATGATGATAGACAGGGAAATTCCAAAGTGCCTTATTTCTTTGTCCTTCTCAAGCAGAGCATTCCACAACTCAGGAAAAATGAAAAGATTAGCCAGGTGAAAGGGTCATGCATGGGGAGGGAGAGGAGGGGAAAAAAAAGGGCAAAAAAAAAGAAAAGAAAGGGTCATGAAACCCTACCAGAAATAAACATACACAAGAAGTAAAAGGAAAAACTTTTCAAAGTGAAAAGAGAAAGTGAATCCATCTTCTATAGAGTTGCCTCTGTCCTTCAGGGCTATGCCTAAAAGGGTGGAGCAATGTATCAAATTTGACCAGGAGGCCATAACAACTGGAAATAGTGGTACTTTTAATAGAAAATCATCAAATATTGAGACACAGTACAAAGTTTAAAATTTCTAAATGTATGGTAGCAGGAGCCTAAGACTTTAACTAAAAACCTCTACACAAAGTGAAAAATGAAATTAAAAAAACACTGCTCATTATGTAATTTTTCATATAAACTTTAAAAAGCAGTATCTTGGGCCAGGCAAGGTGGCTCATGCCTATATTCCTAGCACTCTGGGAGGCTGAGGGAAGAGGAATTCAAGACCAACCTGAGCAAGAGCAAGACCACACCTCTACTAAAAATAGAAAAATTAGCCGGGCAGTGTGGCTCAAGCCTGTAGTACCAGCTACTCAGGAGGTTGAGGCAGGACGATCGCTTGAGCCCCGGAGTTTGAAGTTTCAGTGAGCTACAATGATGCCACTGCACCCCAGCCAGGGCAAAAGAGCAAGACTCTGTCTCAAAAAAAAGAAAAAAGCAGCATCTTAGTCTATCTAGCTTGAAGATGACCACCAACGACCGCCTGGCTAAAGAAACAGACCCTTATAAGGAATGAAAGTTGCCTAATGCCTCTCACAGCTCATTCAAGTTATTTTTGTACTGCTTTTGATAAACTTACAGTTACCCCACCAGCTAAAGACAGAGCTGGTAATAGTTTATATTTGTATAGTGTAAAATGTTTCCTTTTTTATGATAAAGCATAACAATAAGATGGAAGAAAAAGGAAGATATGGAAGACACAGGTAAAATTTATTAACAAAATGTAAAAAACACCAACTTAACCATAGTGCCACATGTCCACACTTGCATGTGGTTCCACATCTCTCCATCAAGTTAATTCTCTTGTTTTCACAGAATTAACTTATACCAATTCTAAAAAGTATCTATAATAAGAGCACTCAGCCATCTTCAAAAACATGGTACTCACCATCTCCACTCGAAAAAAGGATGGTCCTTGTTAATTAGCAATCAGTGTGCCTTTCTTAGGGTAGAGTTACATAAATGTTTATTGAATATTAAAGTCATGCAGCCTGTCCTTTTTTTCATTCCATTGTTAAAATTATTCATAAACACCAATATTTCTTCAATGATCTCCAGCCCTTGTGTAAGCCCATGAAGCGATCTATCAACTTTGTATGGATGCCATTGCTGTCACCCCCGTGGGTTCCTAAGAGAAGCGCTCACTGAAGTACCCTAGGCAAAAAAAATATTACCTAGATTCCGGGAGCCATAACCCTATGTCTTTTTTTTTTCTTCTTCTTCTTCTTTTTTTTTTTTGAGACAGAGTCTCACTTTGTTGCCCAGGCTAGAGTGAGTGCCGTGGCGTCAGCCTAGCTCACAGCAACCTCAAACTCCTGGGCTCAAGCGATCCTCCTGCCTCAGCCTCCCAAGTAGCTGGGACTACAGGCATGCACCACCATGCCCGGCTAATTTTTTTTTTTTTGTATATATATTTGTAGTTGGTCAATTAATTTCTTTCTATTTTTAGTAGAGACGGGGTCTCGCTCAGGATGGTTTCGAACTCCCAACCTCGAGCAATCCGCCCGCCTTGGCCTCCCAGAGTGCTAGGATTACAGGCGTGAGCCACCGCGCCTGGCCTTTTTTTCTTCTTGAGACAGAGTCTCACTCTCTTGCCTGGGCTAGAGTGCCTAGCTCACAGTAACCACAAACTCCTGGGCTTAAGTGATCCTCCTGCCTCAGCCTCCCCAGTAGCTGGGACTACAGGTACCCGCCACCTTGCCTGGCTAATTTTTTCTATTTTTAGTGGTCTGGCTAATTTCTTTCTATTGGGATCTCATTCTTGCTCAGGTTGGTCTTGAATTCCTGAGCTCAAGCAATCCTCCCACCTCAGCCTCCCAGAGTGCTAGAATTATAGGTGTGAGCCACCGTGCCTGGCCAACTCTGGGTCTTTAGCTTTCTG